GGGGGGCAGAAGAGTTTCCCTGGTGGTGCCCAGAGTGGTCACCAGGGCAAGCTAGGGAGGGCTAGCCTCCCACTAGTTCGAATTAAGTGGCTTCACAGCCCTTAATTCGAACTAGTTAATTTGAACTAGGTGTTAGTCCTCGTAGAATGAGGTTTACCTAGTTCGAATTAAGTGCTCCGCTAGTTCGAATTAAGTTCAAACTAGCGGTTTGCCTGTGTAGCGCCTATCAAAGTTAATTCGAACTAACGGCTGTTTGTTCGAATTAACTTTGTAGTGTAGACATACCCTTAGAGACTAACATAAATATATGTCTATAGCATCATGAGCTTTTGTGGGCAAAACCCACTTCCTCAGATGCGATAATCTTGAGTGTAGAAACCCTCCCTCTCCCTGCAGATTCTGAAAGGTCCCCTTTTTTAATCCACTCAAAATCATCTCATCTGAAGAAGGATAAATTGACCTTCGTTGTCACTACTCTGTGAAGGCACCACAATAAATAGCTCTAAGTACGTCGACCATAGCTATGCTCTTCATGCAGCTGAAGTTGCATAATTTAGATCGATCTTCCCACATCGGCTATGTCTAGACTGCAAGCCTCTTTCAAAAGAGGCTTTTTTGAAAGATACTTTCTAAAAAGCCTCTTTTGAAAAAGAATGTCTAGACTACAACCAGTACTTTTGAAAAAGCAAGCCGCTTTTTCGAAAGAGAGCACCCAAGCAGTCTGGATGCTCTCTTTTGAAAAAGCACAGTTTGAATTACATAGTGCCTGTTTTCGAAAGAGCACTTTCAAAAAAAGGCATTTTTCCTCGTAAAACGAGTTTTTTCGCAGTCAAAAAAACTGCTGCGTTCTTTCGATTTACTTTTGAAAGAACACAGAGCAGTCTAGATGCAGGGGAAGTTTTTTCAAAAAAAGGCCACTTTTTTCCGAAAAAACCCTGTAGTCTAGACACACACACACAGTGTAAAAGAGCCTTCATCAATGTTATTGCCTTAATGGACTCTCTGCCAGTGGAGGATTGGTGTAATGGAACAGACCTGTGCCCTGACTCTCCCTCCTCTCCCCACACTTACCCCTTACAAGCAAAAGGCACAGCATGTGGCAACGGTATTGATGCAAGACTAGGGAGTTCCCCGATAGCTGAGGAATTCAGTGATGGGAATCTGACTGAGACTTGATTATGGCCTCTTTCTGCTGCCTGAGTGAGGCTAATGAGCCGTATTGTGGCTTTGTGAATCCCACCCTTCAGAGTATTTCAACTTTATTTGCTTCTCCTGAGAAAGATACTGCCTGGGCCCTAATTACCTTGGCAAATTATGTCATAACTTGAGCTTTGTGTATTTACCACCAGGGTGCTAGTCTTTTTCTTTTGTAGGAGATTTGCTGTTTTGGGGGAGGGGATTGATTTTGTTTGTTTTGTTTTATTTTGTTTTGCTTAATGCCGCTCATTACAGTGGGCAAATGCTGCTCACCTGCCACAGCGCCAGAGTTTACATATAACAATTCAAATAAGAGTTAACAGTGTGAAGCAGCTGCAAAAAAGCCTGCTATCATTCTGGGATGCATTCAGAAGTGTGTCAGATTAAAGACATAGGAAATAATTATTCTGCTGTGCTCTGCTCTGCTCATCCCTGGGGAGGCCTCAGCTGAAGTATTGTGTCTAATTCTGGGTGCTACAGTAGGAAAGATGTGGACAAATTGGTAAGAATCTACAGGAGAGCAACAAAAATAAGACCAGGTGGAGCAACTCTGATCTAGGAGGACAGGTTAAAAAAACTGGGCATATTTTTCTCAAGAGAAAGGGGGAGTCTGAGGGCTGTGACCAGTTCTTCTCCATGTTAGGGATGTGAATGGTTAATGGATGAGGCTTCCTGTTCTGGTTAACCGGTAGGGGCTGCCTCAGCCCCATGGGTTTCACCACAGGCAAAGCTGTCAGCGACAAGGTTAAGAGGGTCTCTCTCCTCCCCTTTAACCATAATATTTAACCAGTTAACCAATTAAACTGTATTTTACATCCCTACTCAATGTCCACCGAAGATAGGATAAGAAGTAATGGGCTTAGCCAGAAGCAACGGAGATTGAGGTCAGATATTAGGAAAAAACTTGCTAACTATAAGGGTCATTCAGTTCTGGAACAGTCTTTTGAAGGAGTTTATGGAATCCCCATTGGAGAATTTTTTTTAAGAACTGGTTGGACATACAGCTGTCAGGGGTAGCGAAGGTTTACTTGGTCCTGCTTCCATACAGGGATTGGATCTGAATACATCTCATAGTCCTTTCCAGCCCTAAGTTTCTATGATTCTGCCTCCTTGAATCTCTCCGGGTATGTCTACACTACCACCCTAGTTCAAACTAGGGAGGTAATATAGTCAACCGGAGTTGCAAATGAAGCCCAGGATTTGAATTTCCCGGGCTTCATTTACATGTTGCCGGGCGCTGCCATTTTTAAATGTCTGCTACTTCGGACTCCGTGCCCCGCGGCTACACGCGGCACGAACCAGGTAGTTTGGACTAGGCTTCCTATTCCAAACTACCTGTACAACTCCATGAGGAGTACAGGTAGTTCGGAATAGGAAGCCTAGTCCGAACTACCTAGTTCGTGCCGCGTGTAGCCGCGGGGCACGGAGTCCGAAGTAGCGGACATTTAAAAACGGCGGCGCCCGGCAATATGCAAATGAAGCCCGGGAAATTCAAATCCCGGACTTTATTTGCAACTCCGGTTGACTACATTACCACCCTAGTTCGAACTAGGGTGGTAGTGTAGACATACCCTCCCATCCTAGCTTCAATTGTACGCAGCGTTCTTTATTATTTCCCCAGAGCTCTAGTGCTAGCTGACAAGCACGGCCCAAGGAAAACTTAAGGAAAAGAGATAATGTTAATAAATATTGAAGGTGTGTCAAAAGACCCATAGATTTTTTTTTTCCACTCTAGATTCTGAATTTTTTGAAATCAGAGGTCCCTTGGCTGGGCTTTTCTGTTCAGTTAGTTTACAAAGTACTCACAGGAAAAAGTTCTCCCCAGAAGCGTGTATGTAAAGAATCTTTGCAAAACACTGTTTATTAAAACTGTACTTGTTAATTGACTAGTTTACATTCTTTTTTCTCTCCTATGTTTTTGTTTTAGATCCAAAAGTAATAGGAGGAGCCAAGAAAGTATTGGGATTTTCTCCTATTATCATAGGAAGACATGTTAGAAATATTTGTATGGTATATATAGAAGACACATCAAGGAAAAATTAAGGAAAAACTACTTCTTCAGTCTTCTATGCAGTATACCTGCCAATGGAAAAACAAATATATATATATACACACACTATATATTATACCAAAGATATCATTAACTGGCTTTAGCAGTAAATATGCTGCTTCAAGGTGCTTCCTAAGGGTCAACTATATATGAACTTGGGGAAATGGATCATTTATTTTTGTAAATGCTTCTTTTAAAATATTTATCATTTGGGGTGACTATTTTTAATACCTTAAATGCATATCCTAAGCAATTATAGCTCATAAGCCATGTTTGTGTATTTGTGTTTTATACTGGTGTAGAGGAACAGCATTTTAAAGGATGTAATTCTATTTTTTACTGATTCATTTAAGAATGACACTTAAAAAAACTAGAGCAACCCAAAGCCTTACTAAGAGATGGACCTAATCTTTTGTGTCAGGATTGTTCATTCCTATCTGTATTACTTATGCTACATGAGTTCAGAGTTAGAGGCACTATCAATGTTCCCTCTAATCTTTTCCATTCATATGTGGATATTTTCCATTCAGGTGCAGAATACATTTTATGTGCAATGAGGCATGTGCAAATGTGCACCACAAACAGAAACACAAACCTGGCTGTGGGTGCTCTGCTAATCAGCTGGGTGGCATGGGAATGTTTCCTAACTGACCACACAAGTGTACAGCTTCCAGGGAACACTGGTCACTGTCCTACAAGGCTCAGCAGTGAAGGTACGTCTAGACTGCAGTGCTATTTTGGGATACTAGTGTTATCCCAAAATAGCTATTCCGCATCTTTTGAACCAGCCTGTTATTTCAAAATAGATTTCGAAATAATGGGCTCGCTATTCCGACATACCTGTAACCCTCGTTCCATAAAAATTTAGATTGAATTAAAATATGCAATTTGTGTAGCTCAGATGCACCCTGAGTGTATTCAAACCCTTGCAAGGCTTCCTGACTGCCATTGCTGGAAACTCTTAGCATTGTGATAATATAGTGATGTTGGGTAAGCTTCACACAATGGCCCATTGTCTCTGTGGGATGGCAGAAATATAAAGCTTTTGATACTGTAGGTTTTTCAGATATACATAGTAACTTCTTTCCTTTCCAGGGAAGCTGATTTAGTTTTGGTATGGCCAGAAAATTGAAGTTGTCCAGAATATTTGACAGTCACTTGGGAACTAATCAAAGCCACTTGATGGGTTTTGTTTATGGCTGAAAAGATGTATTTTAACATGAAGCGCTGTAAGATTTTCTAAGGCAGCTTGATCACACATTAGATTGTTTCTTCTGTGGGTAAAATCCTGAAACAACAAAGAGTTGGTGTAAGGCTAAAGCATGTGTACAGGAAGTACAGGGAGCCAGGACTGAAAATAAGATTGGGGGTTGTTTGATTGTTTGTTTTGCTTTTTGGTCCCAATCCTGCTCTCACTGATGTCAGTACAAGTTTTCTTTCCTCTTATTCATTCTCCCCGCATATGGTTTTCTTGGTTACAGGTAGTGATATTCACAACGGGTGGGTTCTCTCATGACCTACTCCAATGTATAAAAGAAGCTGGAGAGAACCTTCCTCAAATTGTTTGGTAAAGCAATCTCTTCTCTAATCCCATCTTCATGAGGAATGTTTTGCCCATCTGTTTTTAATTGAATGGCTATGCCTTGATTTTCCTTCATATCCCCATGGACGCAGTTAATCACAGTGGGTGATACACTGCAGTGTTTTTCTGGAAAAATGGATGTTTTTCCGGAAAAACTACACTTATGTCCACACTATAGTTGCCTTCTTTTGACAGAAAGTTGAAAGAACGCAGGGGTTTTTCCAACAGCAGTAAACCTCTTTCTACGAGGAAGAAGCCTTTTCCCAAAAGAGCTGTTTCAGAAAAAGGCAAGTGTGGATGGAGAAGAGGGTTTTTTTTATTTTTTTTCGAAAGAAGAGGCCTCCAGGAAAAAGCATAGGTGCCTCAGTGGCCACTCCGTCCATAGTAATCACAACTTAAATGTGAGATAGCATCCATTGAAAGGCTAGAAATGTGAGATTGCTAAAAGCTTAAATGCAAGATAGCTTTTGCTGTGTAGATGCTCTCTTTTGAAAGAAGTTTTTCCGGAAGATCTCTTCTGCAAAAGCGTTTTCCAAAAGAAGCTGGCAGTCTAGACATAGCCAGTAACAGGTACTAGCTTCATGTGTTGCAGATTTTCAAGTCTTTCATGGTTGACTCTCAAGTACCCCAGTCTGGGGCATGTCTATGTAGGAAAGTTATACCAATGTAAACTACGGTGTGGATGTAAATCACTGCAGTTGTGGAATAAGAGAGGGATTTATGGGATATTATCACATTGGAAACGGTTGAAGCTAAAACAAATTTAAAAAATAACAACCTCTACTGGTATAAGTATACCAATATAACAGGTAAAAGGTCTCATGTAGATAGGTCCCAGTCTATGAAATCTCCCTCCCGTGGAGAATAGGTTTCTAGGACTACTCCTGGTATTGCTTCATCTTAGGGCAAAACCTGTTTGCACATCTTGTTTCACCACATTTATAGCATAGTTTTCCCCAAGACCCATCTTTCTGAAAAATAGGATAAGTCTGAGAACCCCTTGCCCTTATGGCCACCCTATAAAGGGACCCAGTCTTCCCAATGTGGAAATATGTTTTGTATTGTCTCCTGGCATCTCAGGGCCTTTCCACACTGGAATCTGATCAGATTTAGCAACTGCCCCTAAAGGACTCAATCCTCAGATACAGACCAGAGGTTACAGAATGGAATGAAGTATATAAGTCCTGATAGACAGGGTCCTTGTTATAGCGCCTCTGGCACTGTCAGCAAGTGTCTCTTCAGGCATCTTGATAGGTAGATGTCCCCATCACCATCCAAAGAGTAGTAAAAAGTTGTCCATAGGTCTTTTCCCTGGGCTGTTTAGTTTTGGACTGTAACCTCCGATATTTTGATTTACACTTTCTCCTCATTCTAATCTAAAGTGGACTTTTTTCCACTTAGAACCTAAGCAACACTCCCTTGTGGCAAAGGGCCTGGATGAATGGTTTGGCTTATATATAACACCAGTGCACCAGTCAGTCAGGTAAAGACAAAAGGTCCTTTATTGATGCTGCCCTGCCCCAGCTTGGGACAGAAAAAGGGCTGGCATAGCAATAATCAACTAACTAACCAGTCAAAACACACCCCAAGAGTTGTCAGCATTAACAGTTTGATTAGGCAGATTTCAGGCAGCACCTATTGGCTAGTCTCCCCTCCCCCATCCTCACACACCTCCTTACTGATCTGTTCCTAACATTTATACAATTTCCTGAGGTTTCAAGGGGCTAATCTGGTACAGTCTGTAGTGTGATCCAGTAAACAATAGCTGATTTCCTGGGTTATAATCTCCCAAACTAAAACCTGAAGAGGAGGTGGGGACCACCCAACAGAAACATGGTAGCCTCTTCAGGTGATTAACGGTTCTATGACATACACCTGTCATCATTCATGGGACCTGCATGCCCATAAATGAATGGCAATGGCTCTGATCCAGCAAGGGATGGAAGCATATATCTAATGTCAAACATGTGAGTAGTTCCATTGATGTCAGTGGGATTACTCATGTGTTTTAAGTGCCTCCCTGAATTAGGGCTTTCACTAGAATATCTGGGATTTTTTTTTCCAAATTTCTGAGCACCACAAAAAAGGTTGCAAGGACTGGATAGTTTGCACCTAAGAATTCATCTGACTGTAGGCTGATTGTAAGATCAAAATCAAGGGCACAGTATTCAGGTTGCAAATTAAGTTATTTTCCAGCTTTAAACTCTTGTATATCTTCACATAAATGCCTTCTTGCTCCAAAGAGAACCCACATTATCCTCTTAAAACAACTGATCTTGTTATACATTCTTCCTTCTGAGGCAAATTTCACAAGAAGCAATAGCAACTCTGGAGAGCAGAGGGGGTGAAGGAGACAGGACCAGTTTTCTGAATAACAGACCCCTCAGAATATTTTCAGGAATATGTGACCAATTGAGGAAGAGCTGAAAGAGGAAATGTCAGTAGGAGTTTGGCCATTGGAGGCAGAAGGCAGGCATAACTAGACTGCATGGTTTGCCTGATGACATTTCTAAATCTGTACTTTAAGTGGTGTAACTCAGGGTGCATCTACACTGCACCGTTATTTCGAGATAACTAGCGTTATTTCAAAATAACAATGCAAGCATCTACACAGCCATTCTGTTATTTCAAAATAATTTTAAAATAACTGACAGCTTATTCCAAAATCTGTAAACCTCATTCTATGAGGAATAACGCCTCTTCCAAAATAGCTATTTCAAAATAAGGATGCTCCACTGCTGCTATTTTGAAATAGCCCCACTGCAGGGCCATTCTAAGTTATTCCTCCCCAGTGCCTCCTGGGGCTCAAAATCGAGATAGCATGTCCACATTAGGGAACTAATTTTGAAGCTTCCCTGCAGTGTAGACGTGCTATTTCGAAATAAGCTATTTTGGAATAACTACTCTGGACTAGCTTATTTTGAAATAGCCGTGCAGTGTAGATGTACCCTAAGTTACGTTCATCAGAGGAGCTCCTCATTTTCGTACACATACAGCAAGGTCAGGAGTGGATCATGGGACTATTTGAATATGTAAAATAAAATGGACATGAATAAAGATTCTGTGCAAAAGAAATATCATTTTCCCTTACCCAGCAGAGCAGTATGTGTAGATGCATTTTCCTCCATCTGCACCATCATCTCTCATGTTTATTTTGATCTATTACCCACAGGATCAGGGAAACTTATTATAGGAAAAACTGTGACAGTCCTTGCAGCATTTCCTATAAAATTGCCATGAGCACTACCCACAGCTCTGCTGCAGAGCTGCACACTGATCCAGCATCGTGCCTACCTCCAAGTTGGAAAGTGCTTTAATTATATTCTGTTCTTCCTGTGTCTTGGCCGTGTAGTTAGAGCCAGAGCAATTGTCTTCCTAGCACCCCATATCTAATTTATAACATCTAAACCCAAATGTGAGTCTCCCTGTGCTACTTAAATTCCACAGGGGAGCTTCTCTCAGGGAAATGAAATACAACACTCCTAATATGTAAAAGTGTTTTAAATCTTTGTGCCAAGCTGTATGGGAAACCTCATTAGAGTGAGATGATTTCTGTTTATAGCAAAAGCACTGAATGAAACAGAGTCATCTCAGACAGCCACATCTCATTCTGATGCAAATACAGCAGCCTTGTTACTACTAAGCAGCTTCTCTGGGTCTAGATTAGCCACTCTAGTGTTCCCTGGACAAAAAGACTTTAAAGTGTGATTTGTTGTGAGTGACTGTCGAAATCCTACAGAAAGAATCGGTATTTTGTATGCTTTGAAGGCCAATTCTGCCACACTATCTCACTGACTGGTAATAGCCTCTACCAGCAATTCCACCGCAATACCCAGGGATTGGGATCCTACTCAACGTAAGGATGCCAGAATGTGCTCCTGACATGGGAAAGCACACAGCACCCCAAAGCACCTCAAAGTTGCCCCAGGGCCCAGCAATTTAAAAAGGCCTGGGGCTCCCAGCCGCTGTTATTCCAGCTGCGGCAGTGACTGGAGCCCTGAGCCCTTTAAATCGCTGCCAGAGCACTGCACAGTGCACTCCAGGTGGCTTTCAGGACTGGCTGGCAGCAGTGTGGGGAGGAGCCAGTGCGGCATGCTTCAGGCAGTACTGAGGGCTGGTTGCCCCCAGCTCTGCCCTTAGGCCTGAGTCCCTACCCCTTCTGGGGGCATGACGCCAGGCCCCCCCACACTTTGTCCAGGGGCCTGGCAAGTCTGTTAGCATCCCTGCAGCTGTTGGCTGGACACCCAGCTCTGAAGGTGGTGCTGCCACCAGCAGCAGCAGCAAAGTAAGGATGGCATGGCATGGTGTTGCCACCCGGACGTCTGCGCTGTGGCTGGCGGCAGTGCTGCTGTTAGAACTCTGTGCACAGTGAGGGTTTTCCCCTGAAGCTTGACATCCCCTCCCCCCCTTTGAATATGTTCTGTACCCCCAGGGGGTCTGCATCCTTCAGTTGAGACCCTCCACACCTATGGCCTCTTGAGCTCCCTTTCCGCCTTCCATTCCTATAATTCTTTTATTATTTATTTTACTTGACATAAATAAAGTTCTCTTTTGGATCACTCCATCTATTGGGATAGAGTCAAATCTCCCTGCAAAACTAAAATAAAAGCCTGCCATTAAAGTATTCACACCATAATGTTTAGACCCTATTCCTGCAAGGATTTACACATTTACTTAACTTCACGCATATGGAAGTAATCCCGCCTGTGTATATTTAAGTAGCAGTTAAGAGCCCACTGGATCAAAGTTATTTTCTAGATTATGGGGGGGGGGGAGGTTACTACATTGAACAATTGTTCCTGTGTGTCTGCTAAGGATTTAATATAGCTCAGCCATATTTTTAGCATCCTCCAACCTACTCAAAGTTAACTGACTATGCACAGACAGAGCTGTGTAGAGAGGGAAGAAATCTGCTGTTCCTCCATGCCTGAAACCATAGCCTCACGTTACAGTAGCATTGTGGAACGGGGGTGGGGAGGGCGTTGTCCAGCACATCTGTTAAATCACTGATTTACTGGCTGCACAATACCTCCCACCCACCCAAAACAAACCAGCCCTCTGCATTGTCCTGGTCCAAACCTTTGCAGTGTATGGAGACTGTCTCGGATTGCCAGCCTTTAGCCTCTGCGAAACAACACTTCTTTTGCTTTCAGAGTCGTGCGGGGGCACGGCAGGGAAGTGCGACAGGTCCTCTCCTCCCCTCCCCCCAAAGTGCATGCAGTCCAATTTAAATGATTGCTGACATTCTACTGAACTTTTTTCCCCTCTGGTTTCTGTCATGAATGGGCCGTTTGATTTAGATCAAAACAGAGCTGCCTCTAGTCACCACAATCATGATGTCAAACCTCATCTGATTCAAAGAGAAGAGGTGGGCAATATTCTGATCTTTAGTCCTTGCCAATAAAGCAAGCAGGCTGACTGCCTGTAAATACTTAAACCAGGCTGAGTGGGCCATCTGTATCCAAAGGGAAAGGGAAACAAAATGACACATCACACAATAGGTTTGTACAACTCCATTTGCACTGTTTAAAGCATGACTTGTCTGCTTTATTGGCTGCTGTATTAAAGTGTTAAATCACTTAGGAACATGCTGGGTACTTCAGCTTTAGTTGGGCTTCTCCAAGCCCCATAGGAAAGTTGGCTCCTCAATTCCCACTGCTTTCAATGGGACTTAGCAACTTTGACTATTTCAGCGTTTGTGTCCTGTTTGTAGTACTGTATGTAACTATCACTTGTGGCTTTGTTTTGGAACATTGTATACAGTAATAATAGCAAAATAATCATAAAAATATATTAATATACAATCTTTCAATCTGAGCTTTTTTTATTAGAGAATTATATATACACCCATTAGTCCAGGAAATTCTCTGAATTCTTGAAAAGTCTGGCCAGTGTTAATGTTACCCTAAGAAATGCAAGCTAGCTAGCTAGCATACTGTATGGGTTCAGTATTTTATAGTCAAATAGCCTTGTTCATGTCTTCTGGTGAGAAAATTTAAAATGTAATAGTCGTGTGAGCTAAAGGAAAGTTATGAAGTAAAAATGTTAAACAAAGCTGTAAATTCAACTTACATTTTAATAAAGAATATGGGCTGGGGAGAATATACTGCTGTGTTTTTTCATGTATTTTGTGCTTTGCATTTAAGTCAAGAAGTGCCCTACAATGGGTTACATTGCCTCCTAATGGTTGCTGCATACAGGGCTATATTACCACTTAGGGCATGTCTACACTAGGGAATTATTTAAAAATAACTTATTTCGAAATAGTGTGTCCACACTATGGGGAAGCCTCGAAATTAGTCCGAGGCAGGTTCTCTTAATGTGAACACGCTACCTCAACTTAGAGCCCCACTGGGGAGTAGTTGTTATTGCAAAATAGCTGCAGTGGAATGTCTACACAACTGCTATTTCGAAATAACTATTTCGAAATTAGCATTATTCCTAGTGAAAAACCGGAGTTATTATTTTGAAATAACCAGCCACTTATTTTGAAACAACAGGCTTGGTAGTCTGGATGCTCTGCTTGTTATTTTGAAATAAGGGGAGTTATTTCGAAATAACTCTCTGACTACATCTACACTGGCATGATTTTCCGGAAATGCTTTTAACGGAAAAGTTTTCCGTTAAAAGCATTTTTGGAAAAGAGCATCTAGGTTGGCAGGACGCTTTTCCGCAAAAGCACTTTTTGCGGAAAAGCGTCTGTGGCCAATCTAGACGCGCTTTTCCGCAAAAAAGCCCCGATCGTCATTTTTGCGATCGGGGCTTTTTTGTAGAAAAGAAATCTCTGCTGTCTACACTGGCCTTTTTGCGCAAAAGACTTTTGCCCGAACGGAAGCAGCGTAGTATTTCCGCAAAAGCACTGACAATCTTACATGAGATCGTCAGTGCTTTTGTGGAAATTCAAGCGGACAGTGTAGACAGCTGGCAAGTTTTTCCGCAAAAGCAGATGATTTTGCGGAAAAACTTGCCAGTCTAGACACAGCCTCTATGTAAACCATGGCTTAGAGCCCTGCTTAATTCAGGGCCATGAAAAACACATTAAGGACCATGAAATCTAGTCCTCCCCAATGAAATCTGGTCTTCGGTGTGCTTTTTGCCTATACTATGCCAATTTCACAGGGGAGACACCAGTGTTTCTCAAATTGGGGTCCTGTCCCCAAAGAGATTTTCAGGTGGTCACAAGGTTATTTTAGAGGGAATTGTGGTAATGTCACACTTGTGTTTATGTGGCCTTCAGAGCTGGGCAGCCAGGGAGTGCATAAACCCCAGCTCTGAAGGCAGCAGCAGCGCAGAAGGTTAGCAACACCATACTATGCCATCCTTACATTTGGGCTGCTGTCTTCAGAGATGGGCAGCCAGAGGAATGTGGTTGCTGACTGAGGCTCCAGCTTTGCAGGCAGCGGTGCAGAAGTAAGGATAGCAATACCATACCAGGCCATCCTTATGTCTGCACTTCTGCAGGAGGTGGCTCTGCCCTCAGAGCTGGAATCCTGGCCAGCAGCCACTGTTCTCCAGCTGCCTAGTTCCCAAGGGAGTGCCACCACCTGCAGCAGTGTAGAAATAAGAGACACATTCCCACAACACCCCTCACCACTTATAACTTTGTGATGCCACTGTGACTGGGAGTGCCTGTAACAGCCCTCATTGAAAATGCCAAGGTCAAGGCAGGCTCCAAAAGGGAGAGCGCACATTCCCAACACTGATGGGTAACACTGACGCAAGACTCCCAAACCAGTCACCAGCTGTGCTTCTGATCCACACACTGGTTATCTGGAAGCCAAGAAGGAAATCCCAAAACCCTTTTTATTTCATTCTAGTCTCAAGCTCCCAGTCACACTTCGGTCCGGTACAGTGAGAAGTTATTTTAAAACTCCACTCACATATAGAAAAAGTTCTTCTGTCCCCAATGGGTCAGCTTCATTACTAGGTCAGTATAGGTTTGCATCTCACCCAAAATTCCATGCTGCCAGCCAATCCTTTAGTGTCTAAAACTAAAGGATTATTATAATGAAACAAGAAAAACAAGAAGAGAAGTTAAATGATAAAGCAGCCACATATATACAACAACTTCAAAGTTCATCAAGTTCCTAGCAGTACTGGTGAGTCTGCAGGCTTGAAAGTCCAGCTGGAATACATCCATAGATTTGATGGGTCATTCAGTCCCTGTTCAGGGCTTCATCTGTAGAAAGGTTACTCCAGAGGTAAGAAGTGGGAATGAAGACAATTTGGAGAAAACAAAGCTGCCTTTTATATTCCTTTTGCCATGTGGTTTCTACTTCCTTTGTCCCAAACCCAAGTTGCCTGGAAACCTTAGAGTTCTTCCCATAGACATATTCCTACAGACCTTGCTGAGAGTCATAAAGCACAGACAGTGCCTTCTCTCACTGGGACAACTGATGGGCCATCAAGCAAGCTAGGCGGTGCATCACCAAACTGCCCGTGGGTGTCACCGAGGAGCATGGCACAAGCTTTGTAATACAGACAGATCCCCAAACCAAAAATGATACAAACATCTAAATGACATTATCATATTGGGCAGACTACAATTTTTTGCAGATGGTGTATCTGGTATAACTCATTGCTGCCGCAGGGAGTGAAGGGTGGCCCCAACCATGGCTGCCACCCCCGGCCAGGCCCTTCCCCACCATCTATCCCCAAAGCTGTGTCCTCAGGGAATGGGCGATAGGGGGGAGGAAGTGGTGGGGTTTAGGGAATGAGAATGAACAGGCACTGCCTCCCTGGCCTACCAGAACTCCTGGGCCAAAGTGCAATTGCTCCAGCCAGGAGGTTGAGACCCCAGATTCAGGGGCGATTTGATCACAGTCCATGGTTACAGCTACACTATGAGCTAGGAGAGTGACTCCCAGATCAGGTACACAGACTCACACTAGCTGGATGAGAGCTAGTGAGAGTATAAATAGTAACACAGCCTCAGTAGCATGGGCAGTGCAGGCACAGTTAATCCAAGCTTGTGCTGCTGCTACTCATACTACCACAGTCACATCCCACGCTCATGGTGTAGACGTAACTTAGGAGTAGCTTTGTCAGTGATGGAAAAGCTACCAGAGCCTTGGGAAGTTGTTTCAATAACTAACTACCCTTATGGTTAAAAAGTAGCACCATATTTCCTGTCTGGATGTATCTGGCTTCAATAGCCAGTCATTAGATCTCGATAGACTTTTCTCTGCTAGATTGAAGAGTCCATTGTAAATTGTTTGCACCCACATTTTTAATCAAGTTTAGGATGTTTTTCTAAAAGATCTGCTGTATGCAAACAGGACTCAAGTCAGAGCAGGCCTATGGCCTGTGTTATACAGGAGATCAGCCTAGATGAACGAGCAATTGGTCCCTTCTGGCTTTATAACCTTTTAAATTAGTTTAGCAGTTTGAGTTTCTGAGCATCAGCACTAACTCAGGAGAGATAATCAGCCCCTCTAGGTATTCCCTGTGTACAATGCAGCCCCACCATATATAGAAAGAACTGGGATTTATGACCCCATCCAATTCTCACTGAGCTGGGGAAAACATACTTAGGCCTTGTCTATACTAATCCACACCTAATCTACTCGCTTCACCTATGCAAATAGTGTAGCTGAAGTCGATGTTCTTACTAGGGATGTAAGTGAATAGCCACGTCAACAACTTGAATTTCCTGTCCCCCTTGCTGCCTCTGAATCAGAGGCAGCAAGAGGGGGGAGCAGGAGCTGGTGCTGGAGGGAGCCAGCTTAAAAGCCGGTTTCCCCCTCCTCCCCCGCACAGTCTCTATAGTGCTGCCTAAAGCAGCAGAAGAGAGGCACAGGGGAGGCTGCTACAAAGCAATAAGCAGCAGCCTCTCTTTGTGGCTAGCCCCGGCCGCCACGGACAAGGGCTACTGGATTCGGCACAAGCCAGGACTAAGCCAGGCTTGCTCAGTCCCAGCTCGCGCTAGGTCCAGGACCTACCCCTGCTGCAGCTTTGCAGTTTAAATGTAATAGGTACTGGGTTGCCTCACTCCTGGACTGAGTGCCTTCCCTGATCAACTAATCGTGTAGTCGATACAAATTGACTACACAATTAACCAATTACCCACCTCTTAACATCCTTAGTACTTACCATGGTGTCTTGCATGAGGTGCAGCCTGCGTGGGCTGCTTTTCCATCACTGTTAGTCTTCTGGTCCTGGTGGAGCACCAGTGCTGACAGGAGAGCACGCGGAGATAGATTTATTGTGTCTAAGCAGACGCAATAAATCGATGGTCGGTGGATCGATCACTGCAGTAGGTGTAGTGGAGACAAGCCCTATGCTTATCATTAAGGATCAGGGGGAGATGGGCCAAGAGCAGTAGAGGAGGTGGGTAATGTCTGCTCTGCCCAGAAAAGAAATTGTGTCCTCTGCCATGTGGGGCATGTGCCTGGGCCAGGCCTGAAGCTAATGAAGCGATAGCAGAGGCTACAAGTCCTTCAGCTCAGTCGGTAAGTGTGTATTTTGTATTTATTTCTCAGACCACAATGAGAAACTGCTAAGCTGGAATTCACATGCAAACCTGACACTCTGAAAAGAAGCTGAAATAGAAACATGGAGTGGTTCTCATATTACAGTAGGTAATTTCTCTTCAGGTACTCTGACCTTGGAGAAGAGCCACATCCACCCTGATTTAATTAGAACAGCTATCACACTCCCATCTCTGTATCCATTACTTTTTTCTTTTCTCTTCGAGCATCTGAGAAAGTGAGTTGTTTCTCACAAAAAAAAAGAAAGCTTATGCCCTAAAACCTTAATAAATGTATTAGTCTTGAAAGTGCCACTGGACTCCTTGTTGTTTTTGCTGAAACAGACTAACACAGCCACTGCTCTGAAAAGAATATTCAGAGATTGCTGCAAATGTCCTTAAAATATACTACAGTACCCTGCGCTGCTCAGATTTGTGGGGCGGGAGACTCAAGAGAGGCTAGCTGTGGGGTCACATTCTGATAATCATCCCGGAAAACACACCCTCTTGTGTTAGAACAGCTGTGTCAATACCTGGGGCTCTACATAATCATATTGGGCTGCACAAACCCTAGCTCACTGTGTTTTCAAAGTTGATCAGTGACACCTAGTGGATGTTTTGTATACATCCATCATTAA